TGCTCCTCCTCCTCCTCCTGCTCCTCCTCCTCCTGCTCCTGGTCCTGCTCCTCCTCCTCCTCCTCCACAATGACTCAATATGAATACTACTCTCCCTCTTCCCCCGATGGCGGCCGGAAAGTAGTAGACCCCTCCCCCGCGTACTGTTTTTTACACACAGGATTCCCGGGAGTTGGGTTTTCGCCTGCGTTTTTTGTTTCAAAATGCTGCTCTCGCTGAGGCGCCGGCCTCATTTCTGCTCCCGAATCGTTCCGAATCGTGCTCCCGCTGCAACGTGGGCCTCGTTTTCGGATCGGTGTTTGGCCTCCGTCGTTCAGGATGGCGTTCTCGCCCCAGCGCGGGCCTCTTTCTCGCGCGCCCATCCGCCCGCCACCACCGCGCCGCACCACCACCACCACCAGCACCACCACCACCACCACCACCACCACCACCACCACCACCACCACCACCACCACCACCACCACCACAACCACGCACACACGCACGCACGCACGCACGCACGCGCACCACCACCCACTACGCACGCGCGCGCGGAGCCACAGGTCCGCTACGACACGCGTCCGCGGATAGAGAAAATCAGCGCCATGGTAAGGGATGGGAGGGAGGGGTAGGACGTCAGATATGACGCGAGCGCACCTAGCTTGTCCTCCTCCCCCTCCTCCTCCTCCTCCTCCCTCCTCCTCCTCCGCCTCCTCCTCCTCCTCCTCCTCGCCTCCTCTCCCTCATCCTCCGCCTCCTCCTCCTCCTCCTGCTGCTTCTCCTCCTCTTCCTCGTCCTCCTCCTCTCCTCCTCCGCCTCCCCCTCCTCCGCCTCCTCCTCCTGCTCCTCCTCCCCCTCCTTCTCCTCCTCCGCCTCGTCCTCGTCATGTCTCCTCCTCCTGCTCCTCCCCTTCCTGCCCCTCCTCTTCTCCTCCTCCTCCTTCTCCTCCTTCTCCTCCTCCTCCTCCTCCTCCTCCTCCTCCTTCTCCTCTTCTCCTCCTCCTCCTCCTCTTCTTCTTCCTCCTCCTCCACCTCCTCCTCCTCCTCCTGCCCGCCTCCCCGGCGCGCATGGCGCGGCTAGGGGGCGTCCAGCAAACCATCCCCTTCCGACCGTGACGGCCTCCTCGCCGTCCAACTCCCATCCGGACGCATACATACGCCCTGGGCCGAGGCGAGGGGGATGTCACGGAAGGGGATGGCTTGCTAGGGGTCGGTTAGGCCGCCCCTGAAGATCGGGGGCGTCCAAGAAGGGGACAACAAAATATTAACTCGGAGGTCCGCTCGGAGTTCTTGGATCGGCGCTTGCGCCCCCTGGCGGCGCCCCGATCCGGGAGGTGGGCTCGCAGACCATGGCCCGAGGCACGTGCGAGGGCCAGGGGCGGCCAGTGACCCGCCTTGAAACAGGAAGAGGGGCCATGAAATCTTCGGACGCCCGAAATGGGCACGGAAAAAAATGGGCACAATGCCCAACAGCAAATGCTGTCCCGAACCAACAGCGGCCGCTGTTGGGCAGGCGGCCTTCTGTCTCAAATGGACACAGGCTGCGGCGGCGCGGACAGCGAGTCCTGTTCAAAATGAGCAGGAACTGCTGTCGAGCATTGTATCCATTCTTTCCGTACGCATTTCGCTCGTGCAGAAAATCTGGGGAGACACCATGGCCCCGGCCCTGATGTCCCCCCCCCGCCCAGTCATCACTCAACACGAGGCCAGGACGAAGACAACCTCGGGTGAGGACACAACGAGAATCTCTGCGATCCAGCGGCTCTGCTTGAGGGTGTCCCGGGCGCCAAGGACTTCTCAAAGCGTTTCAGAGCGCTCTGTGAGCGTGTCAGAACGCTCTGGAACGGATTTATCCTTGTCCTAGCTGAAAAAAGAGACACAAAAAGGCCATAAACATAAACTGTTGGCGCAACTTCGCGCGGACTTCTTGGATCTGCGCTGGACTCCCCTCCCTGGCGCGCCCCGCGCGCCGGAGGCGCCGCCAGGGAGGGGGCCCAGCGCGGATCCAAGAAATCCGCGCGGAGCGCCAAAAGCTAATGTTTCTGGCGTTTGTCTTCTTCGACTAGAACAGATGTATCCTCGTCCTAGCCCCGTCTGGTGACCCGCGTGTTGGCCGTCCCAGAGCAGAGAGAGGCCGGCCACGCCGCCGAGCCGCCGCGGCGGCTCGGCAGAGAGTGCTCCGCTGGGCGCCGCCGGCATCTGCTCCGGGCGAGGGCGACCACGGCGCCCCTGCATGCGGAACAGGGTGCGCGGTTGGTGGGCCACGCATGCTTTTCCCGTGGCAACCCCAGACCCCCGACGTAATGATTTTTTCATTACGTCGACCCCCAACCACCCCGACCCTTTCCCCATGACCGGCTGTGCATCCTGAGTCGTTTTTGACGCTCCCGAGGCCCGGTGAGGGCCCCCGGAGGCCGAAAATTAGGAAAAACCTCCCGTCATGATTTTTTCATTACTCGAGGTGGTCTGGGACTGATGCGCTGGTGGCGTGGAATCCCCACCCTCAGCTCCACGAGCGCATCTCCCGCACCCTCTGTTTGTCCCACGGGAGCACTCTCACGTGAGCATGGTGTCAGCCCGCGCGCGGGCCGTGCGCATCACGAGACAATAATTGAATACACATCGCGATGCGGATCCGCAACCAGAATCGAGACGGGTGAGGATCTCACCGGGTGCCAGAAGTAAAAAAGGCACCAGTCATGAGGGAGGGGAGAGGGGAGAAGGAGGTGGAGAAGCGAGGAGAAGCGAGGCGAGAGAGACTGACACGATGGGGGAAGGTGCGTTCCCACATGGTCCCACGGACCATGCATACAAGTAGGCACCACACCATCTCCCGCACGATGTGTCACCCCCTCCTGCTCCTCCTCCTCCTCCGCCTCCGTACTCCTCCCAGTTGTCATCCTCCTCGTCCTCCGTCCAGTTCCTCCTCCCCATCCCTTCGGCGGGGACCGTGGAGCAACAACTTGCCGATGGCCGCGGCGACTGCCCTGCACGCGAAGCGCGTCCACGAGCGAGCAGCAGCGCGGTGCCACGCGCGCGTGCGCGACCGCGCGGAGCGCATGTGCACGCCCTGCGACACCAGTCGCCTGCATGGCTTGACCGAGAGGGCACCACCACAGCGCCGTACCCAGAGATCCAACGTATTGAAAAAATCAAGACGGAGGTTTTTCGCTAATTTCGGCCCCTAGGGGCCCTCGCCGGGCCTCGGGACCGTCAACAAAAGACCCAGGATGAAAAACCGGTCCTGGGGAACGGGTCGAGACTTCCAGGGACCGCGTATGGAAAAAATCACGACATCGGATCTCTGATCTCTGGGTATGGAATCCATCCCCCAAGGACTCAGTTCCGCTCGCACGGCGGTGGAAGGCTCGCTCCCCGCTGCGACCTGTGCCGAGTCGCAGAGACATGGTTCCCGGGAGCATCATGCAGCATGATATTAGCATCCTCCTGCCTCCTCCCTGCCCGCAGCGGGCCATCGTGCAAAACGCGGTGCCGTGAAAGATCGGTCTGCGACAGTTCTGCCACCAAATCGGCGAGCAAGTTGGTCGTGACTTGCTCAAGACGCCCAGACTTCCGTCTCTCCGCGTTCTGTCTCCTCCTCCTTCTCCCCCTCCCCCTCCCCCTCCTCCCCCTCCCCCTCCTCCTCCTCCTCCTCCTCCTCCTCCTCCTCCTCCTCCTCCTCCTCCTCCTTCTCCGAGACACCCGCCTGTCTGCCCGTCTACCTGCTGTTTTGAGCGCGAGAAGTGGCGCCTGCCGCCCCCCAGGTCGATGAAGTCGAAGTGGTCCTCCAGCTGCTTCTTCCTGGACGGGCGGTGCGAGGAGGATCAGGATACACCCTGCGAAATGCTTAAGAAATCATGGGTTAAGAAATTCATAGTCTCAGAATTTAATTAAAACCCAGAATTTCTGTCAAAATCTTAAGGATTAAATTGAAACATTAAGAATAATCGAGACTCTGGCCGGAAACTTAAGTTTTCTTGAGCATCGCCTACGGTGTACAGGGGGGGAGGAGAAAGAGGCACAGAGAAAAAGCAATGTTTCCCGCAAGCGTTACGTCTGTCATTCATGGGCAGTGTGAGGGCAAGGGGTAATGGCGACCTGGCTCGGGCCAGCTTGCGATGCTTCCAGGCACAGCCTGCGAAATTGGAGGCAAGCCTCTCCGACCACATCTTTTGAGCATTTCGAGACTGGGCTTCCGTCGTGCACGCCTTTCACGTTTCACCACGTTTCACTAGGAGTGCCGTTGATGCAGCAAATGCTTTCAGCCAGTGCTGAAGCTGGCCAGCTCTCGAAAGCAACAGCAAGCAACTCACCAAAACAACGAACGCTCGGAAGGTTCTGAACCGAGCGCCGCGACTGCAAAAAACGCTGATACACTCCACAAGATTGGCACGACTACCACTCGTGATCCAACGTCGGCGGGTCAGGTTTAACCCTGCCCTGGGTCGGAGCCCGCGGTGCTCCGACCGAATGTAGCCGTGCGCGAGTGGCGACAACACGCATTTTTTCAAAGCGATCTCCACACGATTATCAATCAGGCTGAACTCTGGAACACAATGGGGTGACTTCAAACACCTCTCTCAAACGCCCGCCTGATTATCTCCTGCTGGTCAAAAGAATTGGTGAGGACTCAAATCATCCGCGTCCACAACATGAGCCGTCACTGTAGGAACAACAACTTTCTGTTTGAGGGCAAGGACACAAATTTACATTCCCCCCAACGTGTAACCTGTTGCAGGACGCCAGACGGCTAGGGGAGGAAAGAAGGCCTTGGCAAGTGTAGATCAAGCATTAGATCCAATCGAATGTCCCTGTGAGAGTTCATTCGAGACCCCAAGTCGATAGAACTCGCTAGCCTGAGGGGTCTGAAGTATGAAGAAGCACCGGCTCTGAAAAGGGTACACTTTAGGCCGCCATCAAACCCAAGATCAACAACCCCAGCTAGCCATAGACAATGCTACCAATGGGGCTCTTGAGCCCCGAACAATCTAAATAAACTTAGCCATCATGTATCCCAAGAAATAGACACATCGTGTCGCCCTATCACTGAAACGTCATGCAGCCCTCCTCGATGGACAGGGGTCGTGTCACCTGGGTGACGACAAGATGCCCCCATCGAGAACGATCCAATCGCTGGAATCAAGATCGAAATCTTCCGATTGTGGGGTCAGACTGGGGCCAACAATTTCGGTCCGCAGCACGCTGAAAGCAAAACGCTGTTCACAACAATGAAACGTAGTGTCGCCCGTCACACCACAGAACGATGCACACTGTCGAACGGATAGCCCGAGTCCCTCGCTTTCTGCTTATCCAGAACGCCGAGCAAGACAACGAACGAAAACAGCTTTGCTCGAAGCAGCTCCACATCTGAGACGAACCTCGCAAATAATCACGTCGCAGAAGACCTGGCGCGAACCGAATCCGTACAACTTTTCCAGACTGATTCTAAAACATGTCGACTCACCCCTTCATCAAGAAACATCTTAGGCATTGGAAAGAAAAGACCTTGGTAGTCATAGAGAAATTACCTCTCAAATCCGCGATCACGTTGACATCGAAATCTAAGTGTCCGAATATGTGTAGAGAGAACTTGCACGGCTGATTCATGTCATGAAACTTTCCTGTACTCTGGCATATCCCCCATAAAGGCTGACCCCCAAGGAATTTCGGAGAAAAAAAATATGATACTTACCAAAAACACGTCGGAATAAACTTAGCTCGCCGTCGGAAATGCATTGCACCTCCGCTCCAAAACGCATATCCGGCCAAAAGGCTTGCAATGCATGTCTTTCGGGCCCAATTCCTATGAACTATGTACTTGCTTGGAAACGACAAATGCATTCATCGCAAAACACTTGCCCAAACCTTCATTTTCCCTCCTGCGTTTCCCCGACGTAGACGGCCGATCGTGTCATGAATCCCAGAATAGACAGCCGACTGCGTAACTAGTAGGTCCTCCAGTATATCCATCAGACAACCGACTCGAGCTGTTTGTAGAGAACGAATTATGCGCCGCTGACAGAAAACATCCGCCACCGTACCTCTGGGCACGGAGTGGGCGTGAGCTCAGGTCCTTCGCCTAAACCCTGGAGCCTCGGTCCTCGTCCTCCTTTTCCTCCCTCCTCCTCCTCCTCCTCCTGCTCCTCCTCCTCCTCCTCCTCCTCCTCCTTCTGCACCTCCTCCTTCTCCTCCTTCTCCTCCACCTGCTCCTCCTCCTCCTCCTCCTCTGGACTCTGGACTCTGCGAAACTGGTCGTGCAAGCACAAAGCCAGCTTATAGGGGGTTACATTAAGCCTGGCATTGTGGGACGGAGCTTGCCCCGCGGTGGGCACCCTTAAAAGGCAATAGGGGCCACCTTCCCAAACTTGAGTTGGGTGCCAGGCACCTCTCCTTTCCGTAGCTTTCGTAACTCGGAAGTGGGGAGGCGGGGGGCAGAACAAGGACTTGACAGCTTCGTCCCTCTGCCCATGCTGAAACCACCGCAAATCGTGCAGTACACAATTGGCATCCTGCTGCCCTCGACCCATGAAATGACAAGGGAGTGGTGCAAGGCAGGAGCACGGACAATGATGTCTCTGAAGAGCTGAGACGTTTCGGCGCAGCTCCTTTTAGAGCTGGGGCTGACTTTCCTCAAACATTTGAGGCAACGAAAATGGGTACCTTGCCAAACGGGTTGGTGACTGACCACGAACGGACGAGGCAATCGCTGTTTAGGGGCACGCCGCAAGACCCCAAACAGCTCGCGGGTCGGAGGCCATTCGGCCAGAACTTTGGCAGCACCCTCTAAGATGGACTGGTAGGCCTCCAGACTGTGGATGTGTTCATCCACGACGTCCTGGGGAAGATCGTGAGCCTGGGCACCTTCGTTGGCCATTCTGTCGGCGAACCTGTTGCCCAGGATTCGAATTCGATCTAGTTCGTCAGTGGCCTCATCGACGGATCTGTGGGCCTTGACCTTGGCAAACTTGAGATCGCCTGCGTCAGTGTTGTGAGCAACATCCCTCCAGTAGCGGCTATGCAAGCTTTTGCCAGACAGGGCAGCTTTGGGAACCGTCATTCCTCTCAGCACCGCCTGGCAATCGACCACGAAACTGGGGCTCGAGCTCATTTCAACGTGCCTGGCAGCAATTACAAAAGCAGCGTGCTCAGCATGGACGGCTTGTTGGGGGAATAGGTTAGGGAGGGGAGCAAACAACCCCCTGAGGAGATTCCCCTCACCGTCAATTTGGACAGCTGCTATGCCGGCTCTGGCCAAGATGTCGAAACGTGGGTGGAGGCACGAGCCATCAAGATAGATAGGGAGCGAAGGGTCGAAGGAGAAAGGGTCTCCATTGCCGTCAGCATCTCTATAAGTGACGGTCCACCCCTGCTCCGGCGAATCAACATCGGGTTTCAAAAGCCAGAAAAACTTATAAAAAGGATGATCCTCCCCCTCCTCAAGCGCAGACTCCGTGACACCCTCCAGGTGGACGTTTCGGCAATGCGCTCCGTGAGGGCACTTCCAGATTCTATGGTGCACCGTATCGGGTTCGCCGCAGTACGTACACTCCAAAGGGACATCAAAGCCCCATTCTCTGAGCTTGGCGGCTGTGAGGACACAATCACACAACAGACTACGAGCAATCTGCGCCTCGCGAAAGGAGAGATGACGTTCGGCGGCCTTCAAAATTCTGGACATTTGGACGTGCCATATATTTTCGTGCTTGACTCTCTGAGCAAAAGGGTGCTCTGAGTCTTCTAATTTGTGCCTGACTGTAGACAACAGAGCCCTGTTCTTAGCAGACTGCACAAACTCTTTGGCAATCCAAGCCGGGGGAACGATGCTTATGTCATAGGTGGCCCCGTCTGGCCCCCTAAGGTGTGAAGCATCAATGAAGCTCCAACCTTCCCGTTCCACCCACAAGAACATGTCGGACAGAGGGCCCTTGGATTTTCCAAGCCAGGAAACGTTTTTCTCTGACCTGAGAGAATTCCTGGAAAAATTAAAAGCGTGAAACAACTCTCTGGCACTCAGGGCATTTGCTTGAGGCTGAAGCGAAACGGCCATAGAGGATGAGTTCCACCATTCAAGACAATACCGCTCCAAGGTACTAGCACAATAGCGGATCGGGTCGTCGAAGCCAACGAGAGACCACCATAATTCTGTCGGCGTTCCTCTGAGGGATCTCCCTGAAGCAGACATCGCTAAACTACGCAACTTGGATACCTCGTGCGGGGTGAAGCCATGGACAGCGGCTCCATACACCAAGGCCGATTTCACGCCCGTCTGAAAAAAAAAAAAAAAAAAACCTAAACTGGGATTTCCTTTTGAGGCCCCCAGAGGTTTTCATCCCTTTGAGTCTGGAGTGGCGGGACAAGGTTTTTCGCCATCGTAAGCGACGAACCCGGTTTGCCCCTGGTCTCCTCTTGTGCTTGCCGCTGGTGAAGTCTATGCCAAGATTCGGGGCGGCATCAGTAGCTGTTCCAACAAACTGCTTATCTAAGCCGGCCATGGCTGCTTTCAAGAGCTCTGTGTCACTCGCGGTGCACATGACTTTCTTGATAGCTAGCTTAAGACCCATAGCCTGTAGACCGTGCAGAAGCATAGTAGCCAACTTGCGCATGTTGCTCACGCAATCTACTGTCGCAAAAGCCCACGAAAACAATCCCAGATCATCTACATGAACAGTGTTGGACGTTCCTGGCACACTTACTCCATCCGCCAGGGGCAGGAGATGGTGCTTGGCTTCGAAAGTTGCCGGCGCTGATCCTGCCACGATTCCGTTCCCTGCCCAAAGTTGGTCGCCACAGATGCCGTCGAG